CCCCAAAACCCCAAAACCCCAAAACCCCAAAACCCCTGGTGAGTCCAGATTGGTTGAAAATTATTAGGAGAATTAATGAGGGTTATTCATGACCTCAAGCAACCAGATAGAGACTTTCATGTCAGAGGTGCATTCAGAAGTAACCTTTTTGCAACAAAAGAAAAGTTATTCAACTGAATGATACAATGAAGCTCTTTCACTATTCCAAGTCTATTTCTTGTTAGCAAAGAATGGGATTTCTCTTCGGGTGACTCATAAGCATCTATATATCATTCTAGAAATCCCACCTTAAATTTAAGAAGGAAATTTTGCTATGCTAGCTAAACATGAGGCTGTTTTCTATAAAATTTCAGATATTAGCCATGTTGGCCCTGTATATCCCAATCAGTATCGCCCTTCTAGGCTATTTTGATAACAATATTCTGTTTTTGATATTTTCTAAAGCTAGAAATTCCCTTTTGAAATATATCTATTCCATAAGAAACAGTTTGAGGTTTAGAAATGCGAAGAAAGAGTTTTATTTGAAACTGAAGGAGTTCAGAATTACACTATGGTATTTAATTCACTAACAAATTAAGCCTACATCTCTACTCTGACTTAAATCCTCTCTATAAGTTTGATCAAATTATTAAAAGTATATCAAATAGGCAGTCTAAGGGTTCAAAGAAGTGTCAAACTTCCGCTCCCGAGCTTAACATCTAATTTTTGGTGCCTTTATATCAGCTTCAATAGCTAAGTCTCAGGCTTACCTTTGTTAGTCACTTCTCTGGCTGCCACTAGGACCCTCTAAATACATACTCTGATTAGCTTATAAGGTCAGCCCAATCTCTGATGTATGAATGCCCAATTTTGTGAAGCATACTTGGTTGAATGTGTTCTTTAGGTCAAGATTTTCCTTCTCTAGAGACTTAAGAGCTGCCTGTAGGTTATGAATCTTCTGCTTCATGATCTCTTGCTGCTTATATAACAACTTGTTGTTGTCTAGTCTCTCGATGAATGATTCCAGCCGCTTGCATTTCTGGATCATTTCTTCTGAATTCTTGGGAACCTATGACATAATAAAGCTGGGTACGGTGTAATCGAAGGATTCTGAAATATTCCGAGGGATCTGACTCGGCTGGATTCTTTTCCTAACAGGAGTCCTCCGTGCTGATTTATGCCGAGGTTTGTATATTGAGATCTTCTTGGAATTCCGAAATTTCTAAAATAAGCATCTGGATTATACCTTGTTGCTCCGACGAAGAACTGAACTCCTTTGATTCTCAGCAATAATAGCCATTAAGTTGAGAGATAAGTGCTTTGGTTTGTTGTGTTGGCTGCCTAAATAATTCTAGTTAGAATCCTATACTGGCATCATAATCATCAATAACTGATTCATAATTTCTCCTTGCGTTCTGTTTACTTTTCTGTGTAATTCTTCTAGAAATATCATATGATTTCACTATAAATTAATGTGTTCAGGCATACTTGTGTAATCGGGGGTTACCCGGGCAAAGTCTCAGTTTCCAGTTGCATTTTTATGTGATTTCGAGCACTTTTTCAAATATTCTAAGGTCTCAAAATGGTAAGAGCTGCTGTATGGGTCTGTTTTATCTACAAATTATCCAGAAAACCAACTTTCTCTGCGTTTTAATCACAGGTTTCTCCCTCTTATTAGAAGAGCTTGAGGGCAATTTTGAGATTGAATTGGTCCACCTAACAACTTTTCTATCTGAGTTCTTCGGACAATATCTGTTCTTATGAAACTTTTGGATGGTGTCTCTAGAAATAGCAGTAGGTATACCTGGTAACCTCTTGGGGTTTTTCTTTTAAAGCCGACATTCAGCTCTTTATGGGAATACTGAACTCAGGGACTTGAGAGGATTTTATCCCATCTTGACCAACTTCACTTTCGTCTAATGATTACTATTTTGTATGCTACCTAGGTCTCAGCTTTGATTAATGGATTCACAATGTGTGTTCTCTTTAGTTTCATCATTTGTCTGAGTCGCACTTAAAGTTTCAATAAGATAAAACCATTTGTTTAACATTTTTGATTGATCAGTTTGAGTGTTAAGAAAGAGTAAAACTAGAATTAGAAAAGAATTTGAGATTTTGATATAGTTTGTAGCGTATTCCCATATTCAATCATAAAGAATCATCTCGTTACAATATTTTCAAATTAAAAGATGATACCAAATCCGATTGAATACCCCTAATTCTCCCTCCACCACCCACAACACCTTCTATCTCTCTTCTACCCACCCCCACTCCTTTCTTCCATATCTGCCTAAACTCCATAACCCCTCTCAACCCCCAATTCCTCAAAACCTACTCTATTGCACTAAAATGGGCATCTCTGGCATCTGGAGCTATATTGGTTCTGAATAAAATGAGGCTAAAATACCTACGGAAAGACCTCTCGCCTAAACCCCCTAGAAGTGCTATTAGTTACGAAGGGAATACTAGGGTCTCTATTTCTGTGAACATAAGGTGTTGAAGGGGTTCGCATGCAGGGTCTGGACATCTCCGTCCTCGTAGAAAACGTGTGATGAGAAATCGGCAATCTCGCCTATTTCGTAGAGATCTTGTTCCTGGTGGTATCCTGCATTTCTAGTTGCAACAGGGATTCCATCGTGAGGAAGTTGTTTATTTATGACTCTTATTTTCAACTGGTCATGTCTCCGTTTTGGACCTTCTTCCTCCGTTTCATCCTAAGTAGATAAGTTAGGAATATTCCAGTAGGTTTAGTTATGGACTGAGAGGTATTTTATGATGATTTCCACAATCTCAGATTTTCATAATTTGGCGACCAGAAGTCACATCTTGTCCAGAAAGGAACAAATTAATGTGATTTAGCACTGTAAATTTGAAAACTTTGACTATGCTACTGTAGACTCACTTCAAATTTCCTTTGTTGCTATGAAAATGTTAGGGTTGATAAAGCCTATCAGGATTTATTTAAATACAAAGACTTATTAAATCAGTACCAAAAAGAGCATAGTCAATGAAATATCTGGTTCTTTAAAGCTTGCTTACTACTGAACTCTGGCCTTTACACATTCCATTTCTTTATTCTGTTTTCAATTATTATAATTTGACTGGGGTTTTGGGGTTTTGGGGTTTTGGGGTTTTGGGG